TCCCCTACCCCAGGTTCCCCAAGGCCTCATCCACCCTGGCCTTGAACACTTCCAGGGATGGGGCAGCCACAGCTTCTCTGGGCAACCTGGTCCAGTGTGTCACCACCCTCTGAGTGAAAAATTTCTTCCTTAGATCTCATCGGAATCCCCTCTTTCAGTTTAAAGCCATGGGGCTTTAAAGGATGGGGCTTTGAGCAACCTGGTGTAGTGGAGGGTGTCCCTGCCCATGGAAGGGGGTTGGAACTAGATGATCTTTGAGGTCCCTCCCAACCCAAACCGTTCCATGATTCTACGACTCTCCTTTCGCCTACGCAGCCACTTCGCCAGCATGCCCCAGATTTGTTCTGGTGTTCTGTATCACAGTTGGAAGGCAGAAACCACTGTCCAGAAGCGAGTCCTATGTGCGCGCCATCCAGAAGCGCTCACCTGCCACCCACGCGCCGCTGCGTCAGCCCACAGAGGCGCTCTGGGTGCTCGTGCCACTGTTGTCCTTCCGTTCTCTGCGAGCGTGGATCCCCGTGGTTAACACCACCCCTGTGCTTCTTCCTGCGTTACTGATAGCTGTATCTTAGCTTCGCTACACACTCTGTTATCCCACAACTGTCTTATAGCTCACGTACGTACACATCAAAGTGAGAACCCATAATATGGTTGAAGCTTGTGACTGAATATTTCAAAACAGTGTTTTCACACTTCCCTTTTCCCAGGTTACCTTTGGCAGACTCCAGCCATCTGTTGTCTGCTTCTGGGCAAGCACTCCGCTCCAAAATCCAATGGCCTCAAAAGAGAGCATGGAGAAGGAAATTGTGGGCACCTAGTGCAGCCACGGCAGAGATGCCAGAGCAGAAGTGCTGATTTTGGGGCGTTTTACGAAATGCCAAGCTCACAGTGGCAGAACCACAAAAGCTGAAAAGATCAGTGGGAGACAACGGGCAGATCTCCATTTTTGAGTTGTCATTTCAGGCTTTCTCCAGATACCTCATTATGTCACCTATAGCGCACCGTGTTCCAGAGATGGTAGTGTTAGAAAAACAACGATTTTATTTAAATAAGAACTGAGATCGTGGAGCCCGACTCCGCAGCGTGTTGCGAAGTCCGTGACTGCGATGTTTTATCATCCGTGGTGCACAGTCTATAATGCCATGGATGCAGCTGACTGTGGTGGGCTTGTGGTTGATCTAACACCCTCCCCACCCCTCCGTGGGCCTTTCCCTGGGAGGAGAGAACCCTCCTGCTGTTGTGTGACTTGGGCGTGATGGTAAGGTGAAAGATGAGGGTGGAAGAGGAGGAAAGCCAAGGTGGCAAGAACAGGCAGGTAGAAGGGAACTAAACAAGGTGGAATCAGTCATGGAGACATTTGGGGTGAGGCAAAGGGGGAAATCTGCCTGTCGTGGCTAGTCTAGATGTGGATGATCCAGTGACCCTGTTAAAGCACACGTGTGCACCCCAAACGCAGCAAGAAGCTCTGTCTGACTCTTATCTCCTTATCACAGCCACCAAGCTGCCTACAGAACTGGAGCACTGCCTTCCAGTCCAAGGCTCTTCCCACGTGCCGACAGCTGCCGCAGAAGCCCCGAGCCTGTTTCATTGTGGACTTGGACCTTCTGGGACAAAATCATTTCAAAGAGAGTGCTCATTTCCGAAAGGAAAGTGCTGGCCAGTCTTGTCCCAGCGGCATTCGAGTCAGCCCCAGCACCTTTTCCGAAGGTCTCAAAGGTCCTTGGTTTCTCCTGCCTTGCGTCTTCTTCATCCTGAGGTGAATGCGGAGAGTCAGGGGAGAAGACGTTGTCCTTGTAACTACCGGTGAGCGGCAAGGAGAGCCGAGCCACCCACGCTGGGTCAGCAGCCGTCAGCCTCTTGAGGGCCAGCTCTGGAGGGAGTGAAAACAAGAGCTACACACTAGACGTGGAGTAGTGGAGAGCACGGGAGAGCAGAGGAGGAGGGTGGGAAGAAAGAAAAAATAAAATTTAATAAGAAATGAGGAGACTTCCTGAAATCAACTGATTGTAAACAGGTCTGGAGATAAGCTATCAGCAGCGTCATTCAAACCAGCAGCTTAAAAAAACCCAAATGAACTAGAACTGGTTTAAAACTACCATTTTGTTTTGTTTTTAAATATAATTACCATTAGGATCACTTTGCTTTCTCATTTGTTGCAGCCTCAAGTGGCACTTCGCTAACTTGCTCACAAAGCCAGAGAAGATGAGGGCTTAGGACTGGCTGAAGGGGAGATGACAGTGGGAAGCTTTCAAGGGGGAAGTATCAGACAAAAAGAAGGTCACTGGTGGACTTCCCTTAAGGGTCACTCTAGGGTGGGAATTTGGGGAATTTGCTGCTAAGCAGGTATATCAAGTCCTAAAAGAAATGGGTTATTGTGAAAGCAATAATAACAGAAGTAGAATGAAATTCTGGATTATGAAATGCACAGCTGGATGGTTGAAGTCTAGTAACAAAAAATTGAGCTATAAAGTAGTTGTTCATCAATTGGGAACAGATGAGGAGCAGTGGGAGCCTGGTGTGGGTGGTGGCTGCAGGCTCGTTAATGTACCAGTAACATGATTTCACCCCAAAATGGGCAAATGGAATCATACAATGTGTTGGTGAAGGTATTCCCCGTTGGCACAAAGACATGTCTGTGGTATTGTTATAGGTCTGGCGAGACCTGATTAGGAGCATTACGTACAAATTTGATTATCCATCCGTAGGAAAGAGGATCTAAAATGACAGAATTGCAGAGAAAACTGTGAGATGAAAGCAGGAGTGAGTCCAGCCTTACAAGACGGAGACCTCAAGAGGTAGAGGTGGCGTAGCCCAAGGGAGCAAGTGCTAACTGGGGATCTGACTGCGACCTGCCGTTATTTTGATGAGATAAGCGCCGACAAAGGAAATCTTTATGCTTAAAATAGTGCTGGCAAAAGAAGAAGTGATTATAACTGTCCACGAATAAACATATACTGGAAATGAAAGGAAGGACCCCATAGCAGGGTGAGCCTGGAATAGCTTCCTCGTCAGACGGCCGGGAAGGAAAGGGGGGTTCTTGTTTTTAAGGTAGAGCTTTGCAGTTGGTAAACAAGACTCCGTGATGTGGTGCACAGACGCTGCCTTCCGGCCCCGCGGCTCGTCGTTCCCAAAGCGTGACCGAGAGCCGCTGGCGGGTTCGATGCCACTGCCAGGTTCACAAAACACTTTTGAGCTGGAGAGCAGCAGAACAAGGAGCTGGGGTCTCACCGTGGAACAGCAAATACCCCAACGGTCCCACTCAGATGGCAAGAGCCGGTGTCGTTATCTAATTACGCAGCTCT